AATTTACTACGCTTTAACTTGTGACAACTTGTGACAATCTGCTAAAGAACCCCCTGTAAAAATGTGTATTTGTTACTTTCAGGAGAAACCAATAGACTGAGTGGGATGGAGAGCCATGCTTTTTTTTCTTTTTCTTCACTAAAAATACTGTGATCTCCATGTGACCCCTCGTGCACCCTGAATCATCAACCCGCCCAGCTTGGAACTCCTAAAAATATACTCCTAGAAGGCAGGTGGATGAATAAAAGAGGAGTGAGGGTTCAGAAATTAGAAGTTTCTGTATGATTCACAGTCGAGAAATACGTGTCATCAGCATCACCATCATGCTCCCACCCATCGTTGTCATCTCCTCAATTATTACGCAGAAACGTGGCTCCTGTGGCAGATGTCTGATGCCTCAGAGGTCATGAACTCTGAGTGCAGATGCTGATAGAGGAGTGAAAGCAGCTTTGCCTTTGCCTCAGCTCCTTGAGTGACGTTGATCGTGCAGCAGAGAGACAGTGTCCTCCCTTAAAGACCACATGCATGGATTTTCCCCCTTTATATTATATGAAACAAAAAGGGAGGGGTGGGGGTGTTATCTGTAATATCCAGCATCATTATTTGCATTAAGATATAATCTCAACCTTTTCATAAACTCTGGAGACGTGGTCTTGTGATTAGTAAGAAGCTTTCGGCCGTACGCCAGGGGAAGGTTCCTCTTTTTTGAATCCTGGAAGTGGGGGAGGGTTTAAGCTGAAATTCCCTTCTGCTTCTTTCATAATAAAGCTGTTCAGGAGAAAGTTGTGTTTTTGTGTGTGTGCTGGAACGTGTAGCTCTTTTTTTGTTTACTAAAGAGCGAAAAGTTGAAAGCATTGCAGGATGTGGGTACAAGATGAGGATGAGGACACTGCGGCTGCAGGTAAGACTCAATAATCTGGCCCTAAAGAGGTGCTGAAGGAGCTAAATAAAAGTTTCAGCGTTTAAAACGTCAGAAAAATTTAAAAAAATTACATTGCGAGGATGTTCATTGTGTAGGTTTTCTAGTTGATGCACATTTTTTGTGTTTGATTGTTTACAACAGCTTTTGTTACCAGCTAAATTCGACTGTGTAAAATAAAATAATGCTAAAATTTCACTTTTGATCTCATTGCAACTAAATCTTTTTTGACCCCCGCACAGCTGTCATGAAGTCGTACAGAAATGAGGAACATTTTTTCTGCTTTAAAACTCAGCATTTTAATGTGAGGGTCTGTTGGTAATGACTTGCTTTTGGAGCTGGCCTCTCTGGCAGTGAGTTTCTTACGCCTCAGTTTTTAAACAGCTTAAACAAAAGACATATGAGGGATTAATCTGTGACTTTTGGAGGTGCTGCTACACGTGTTGTTTAACCTGCACAAGCAGTGTAGTAGTTTTGGTTTCATAGGTAATGTGCTGCAACAGGAATGACTATTCTGATCTGACGCTCAGCAAGAAAGAGGATTCTTTCTTTGATTTCAACACTTCTGACTCCTTAGTCTGTAGGACAAAGTGAAGTAACAATGGGAAACTTCAGTGAGTCACAGGCCACGGAAAGCGAAAACCTCTAAAGGTTCCTCATGTGATTTCCACTTCCCGTATTCCTCGCAGAGCACAACAACCTCATGGAGTTTCTCTTCTATTCATTCTGATCTTTGGTCGTCTGCCAGTGTCTTTTTTTTCAGGTGCCATTTCACAATATAAAGTGTCATGTTTTTGCCCACAGACTCGGATGAAGAGTGTGCTTTCTCCTCCGAAGATGAGGAAGACCTTCAGGTACTGATGTGACTGACACCTTTCACAGGAGGGATCGCTGAGCCCTGCTCAGGCTGGTGTACTGCTAGCTTGATGGAAGGGAAAAATTTGACTGACTCTGGTTTAGAAATCTTCCCCGTGTGCCAGAGCCTGCTATTATAGAGAAAGGATAAAAATGAAATGACACAAAAATTAAACAAAATTGCCAAATCAAAATGGTCTAAAAAGCGCATAAACGTGATTACGTTGAAACGTAATTTGGCGCCTCAGCTGTCTGATAATGGAATAAAATGTGAATGAAAATCAGCTGCGTCAATTTGCCGTTGCTTGATTGATCTCTTTCTTCCGTTTTGCTGGTTGACATTTGATTGCCAGTGGCACATCCTGGAGAAGCAGAGGGACGAAGCCAATCAGAGGCTGTCGGAGTTGGAGGAAGGTGAGACTCTTCACTTCAAATATCAACGTTGTTTACATGTTTTTTAAATGACAGGACTGTGGGACAAACAAATGAGGAGCTTTCACACAGGAAATTGTTATGAATGTGTTTGTTTTGTGTGTTTTCTGAATGATTGTATCCTCTTCAGTATGCTTAAATGAAGAGCTCGTGACTGACCACTGTGCTCTTTATCAGCTTCCAATCAGCTCCTGAAAGAGATCAACGTGCTGGAGATCCAGTTCCAGATAGAGCGCTCCTGCAGGGAGAGCGCTGAGGCACTGGCTCTCAAAGTATGTCTGTTAACTACTGGACTCTTTTTCCTTTCCTTTCCTTTTCTTCAGCACCTGAATCATCAGATCTCTATTTAATCTGGTTTTTCCCCAGGTGACCAAAGACAACAAAGTCCTGAAGAGAAAGAGCCAGATGTTGATGCCACTCATCGCTGAACTACCTGAAAACCTGCCTGATGTGACCTTTGACCCTGCGGTTAATGGTGACGAGGTGGATGGTGACGAGGTGGATGGTGACAAGGTGGATGGTGCCGGAGGGAGCAGCAGCGAGGAGATGCTGCTGCTTGAGAGTCAAGCCAAGATCACAGGTTAGCTGGCACTACCCATGATATGAAAACAGCTATTTTGAAATTAGAATGGGGAAAAAATAGAAAATGAAATCTTGTTATTTGCTTTGTTTTGTTTTTTGTTCCTGTCATGTGTGTCAGAGCTGCAGGCGTCTGTTGACGGTCTGCTGGCTGAGAAGCTTAAACTGGAGCAACAAGTGGAGGATCTGACCAGTGAGCAGACGCAGCTCAGAGAGCAGGTAATGTAGACAGTGTTTTTATATTTGTGGAGTCTGAGCACTTAAAGCAGGGATGGGGAACTCCAGGCCTCGAGGGCCAGTGTCCTGCAGGTTTTAGATCTCACCCCGGGCAAACACACCTGACTCAAATGATTAGTTCATTCCCAGGCCTCTGGAGAACTTCAAGACATGTTGAGGAGGTCATTTAGCCATTTAAATCAGCTGTGTTGGATCAAGGACACATCTAAAACCTGCAAGACCCCCCACCCCTGTCTTAAAGAATCCTACCAAACACAGTATGTAAAGATGCCTTAAAGCTACATTCTTTCTAATAGCCAGCAGGGGCCGACTCATCTAGCTATAAAATGAAATGTAATGGAATTAATGGGGAAATGGCCTGTGGCTCCCTTTACCCCGACCCTGAGTAAACACTTTTTCACTATGGTCTCAATCATTTGTTTAAAGTCTTATTGAATAATACATGTTGTCCATTTAGCAAATTATGGTTCCAATTAGTGTTCAGGAGGTCAATAAACTGCCTTTTATATCACCCGTTGTGGCCGTTGCAATCTGCTGGTGTGAGCTTGTCGTGCACTTTTTTGATTTTTATCTCCTGGTGCTTTTGCTGTGGCCGGGTTGAAGACATGATTCTGACAGTTTTTACCACACACAGGAGCTCAAAGATGATTCAGAAGGAGATGTTGAAACAGTATGAATCAGATTCTTCGGAGAAACTTTAAAATAAGGTTTGCATGACGCTGTAATGAGTGGTGACACCTGCCGTCTCTCCCAGCACTCAGAACTGTTGGTCAGATCCGGCCTCGCTCATCGAGCCCAGTTTCAAAAAGCTCAATGCTTTAAAACAAGACTTTGCAAACCAGCGAGTGACATCCATCTTTCATGTACAGTCAAAGGGACTGGCTGCTTTGTGAAA